TACTATCAGTTTTTTTTTTATGCATTTCTCCATTGAAAACTAGTAATTTTTACTGGTTTGGTAGCTCTAGTGTCCAACAGAATGTTCATGCAAATAATATTCGTATAACAGCTAATTTCTCCAGGAAGTTATAAATATTGATAGAGGTAGACTGATTATGTTGACAAATCAAACATTACATTAGAAGTTCCATTATATGAACTAATTTGGGCAGGGGGTGTTTATACAGGGTGAGCCACTTAAAACAGGCCACGTGAATAACTTAGGTCCTATTTGTGACAGGAAAAAAGAGGAAAAGAGAGGCTGATCATCTGGTGTTACTAGTTTTTTGGTAGGTGGAGCCGTTAAGGAGGTATGAAGGTCATCTCTGTTTTTTTATATGGAACGGAATGTTTTTTTACTTACATTCTGATAGAGTATTTCAAGATGAATACAACGACCTATTGGAAAGGTTATTCGTGATCTGGGTTAAGCCAATTGTGATGAAAAATAATATACTTTGAGGAAATGGTCGGACACTTCCTTGTCGTCTCTGGTTGTTGATATTACTTCATCTCTGTCTTGTAATTTCCCTTGTTATGGGTCGTTATATTCATCTTGAAATACTCTACCAGAATGTAAGTAAAAAAACATATCGTTCCATTTAAAAAAACAGGGATGACCTTCATACCTCCTTGATGCCTCCACCTATCAAAAAACTAGTAACACCAGATGACCAGCCCCTCGATACCAAATAATTTTGGCCTGACGCATTTTTTCCTGTCATCAATAGGAGCCAAGTTATTCAGGTAGTCTGTTTTAAGTGCCTCACTCTGTATAAGAGAATTTTCGTATAATAGAACAATCAGCGATTAACACAAGAATTATACACAAATTTAAAACAAAATGAAATAAAACGAACATAATTTGTTTATAGATAACTTTTGTATACCTTTCTAAAGTATCTTTTCCATAAATGTGAAATTGTCTGGACCGAAAAGTCACGTTTATCGTGTAGGTACTTTCTGTATACTCAAGTAGGCACAGTCTGACGGTTAGGTTATGTTTGGTGAAAGCCTCGAACGTAAAAAGATCGTGAACAATTTTCACGTGTACTAATTGTGTAGTATTTAGTATATCTCTGAATTTGTTCATAAATTCTCATCCACTAGAATCGGGAAAACTAAATTTCAAATATCTAAACAAATCATATTCTTACGGATACTTCTTCAAATATGGCAAATTTTCGAAATTTGCAAACTTCATGAATTTTTATTCAATGTGATGTATTTATATTGTATATATAAATATTGATAAAGGGAGAAGAAATTGATAGGGGAAAAATATATAGAAATTAACAATATAAATATTACATATATATTAATACATAAGTTAATATGAATTATGATGTGACATAATATTAGAATGAAATTTTTGTTCAGAACGTTTCTAACGTTTATTATGCAACGAACAGACTTAGACGTTATTACCGTTATTACGGCCTACGCGAAGTTTATTCATTCATTGCACGAACCTATCTAATTATTCCAAGTGTTCTCTTCTGTAATTCTTCAGCTTCTTTAATAGTATACCCATAGAGCAGTTAATGTGTTAAGCAATTAACAATGATTAAGTTCGGTTCACTTTACAGTATCTTTTAATTAAAAGACATATTTATGTTCGACTAGTTGCATGATGGATGTACTTTCAAGAAGCGATCTCATGGTCATTTTATTGTTCCGTACATGCTGTTGTGTAACAATACATGTGTAATTAGTATCACAGGTAACTCAGAGGAAATATGTGATTAAAATTTTGCAGATCACTATAAAATTACAATGCGCAATTAATTATCTTAAGGATGTATAAATAGACATTTAAAAATCTGAAAAATGTTTTATATGCAACGTAAATCATATCAAAAGATGAATAATTTGCAAGAATTTTTTTCTCAATATCAATTTGTTCTAAGTTGTAACGTCACTAATATTTTCTGCTTGTAATTGTATATTTTTTTACTTTACACACATTATAGTTGATATTGAAACGTACACAAACATATTAGTGACAAGACTTTAAACTGGCCTCTGGTTCTCAAGAATTTTTAAATTAACACTAGAACTACTGAGTTTTAAATACATGCATTTCTGCATTCAAAACCAGTCTTTCTGACTGGTTTGGGAGTTCTAGTGTTAAATAGAAAATTTACATCCACTGGCAGCACTGATTTCTAGCAGCGACGAGCAAGAAGCTGCAGGTGTGCAAGTCTGATGTTTTAAATCTGAAAACTTCATCGCTAATACTTATATTAATGATGTTTAAAAAGTAGAGAAAAGACTTTTGCAAAGTATTCATCTTTTAATACCATGTACATTGCATAAAAAATATTTTTCATATTATCAAATCAAGGAAAGGAAAAATCCATTAAATGAGGGAAATATTTAGGTGAAACACTCTGTACACACACAGTAAATGTGTAGTTGTTAATTGTAGAATTGCAAGCATTAATTCTGTGATCTATCATACGTCTACAATGCTGCACCTTTCTGCATCACTTTTCCTTGAATTGAATAACCAAACTCAGCCCGTTAAGGAACAAATCGCCGAATCTACGGCTGCGAAACTAAAATTAGTTGACCACTTTTTAGGCGTTCTGGCAATCGCTAACTCGACTTCCTGACTGGCTTGCCAAATAGGAAATTAGGAACGACCTGGCTCGTTCAAGGCTACAGTTGATCGATAAACAAACTAAATAAAAGACATTGAAAAATAAAGAGTTAAAGTTACTCCTTTTTGTATTATACTGTTCTAAGAAAATAAGTAAATTAACTCATTTGCATTATACACCATAATTACCATGACAAAAATACATCTTATGTAATAATAATTCTCGTAATGGCAAATACAATTCTTCATAATATAATGATTGATACATACAATAACTGATTCATTCAATTAATTCATTAGCTTGCCCATATAATGATTAACACAATGATTTATATAAAGGGTGCTGCTAAAGTGTGCCCGGTCCTAGAGTCTCGGGACCACGAGTATAAATCCTGGCTTCGCGTCGCCATGATGGTTAACTATATCTATTGATCCCGCCCCTGTGTCAATTCCCAATAGTAATTGATACAATGTTCCATGTGATGATTGATGCACCATTAGGATGTATTAATTAACATACTAAATGATACAATAATTAATATAACAATTGATACAATAACTGTTATAGTACATGATACATATAATAGTTGTTGCAATAGTTGATACAGTAATTGTTACAATGTTTCATATGATTGATACAATATTTGATACGTTAAATGATATACATATTAATTAATACAATATTTAATATAGTAATTGACATAATAATTGCTATAGTACATGATGGAATATTTCATGATTACTCCAATACTTCATAGAATAATTGATGAGACGTTTCACATAATTATTGATACAGTAGTTATTAGAATGTTTCATACGATTTGATGCATTAATTAATTATTATAGTTTGTTTTAATATTTAACTGTTATAGTTTGTAACAATGTTTCATATAATGATTGTTACAATATTTCATAGAATAATGTATGCAACGTTTCATGTAACAATTGTTACAATGATTGATACAGTAATTCTTACAATGTTTCATAGTATTAGTACAAATATTATACAAAAAACATGACAGAATAAAAGCTGCCATTTGAAATGAATAATCAGTATTCACTGATTTGTTAAAAAAAAACTTTCTACGCATTTACTATAAGATATTACTGATTAAATGAATATATTCGACTATTTTATAAAATTTTTTGCTAGTAAATATCAATAATAAAACTAGTCATGAATGTAAATGCAGCTCACCTCATCTTTTCTGAAGAATGTTCTAATACAAAATAATAGAAGTTTCTAAACTCGTGGTATAAAATATGTAGGTAATATCTTATCTTTTGTAGTTAAACAGAGAGTAACTAACTGAAAAACAAACATGTTCAAAGAATCATTTAGAGAAAGTACCACTTTCTTAACACCTCTTTCACTTATATTTCTAATGTAACATCGTCACGCTTGTAAATATCATGACCATATTTTTTATAAACTACCACTTTCTTAATACCTCTTTCACTCATATTTCTAACGTTACATCGTCACGTTTATATCTCCATATCTTTTGTACAAAATGATGTTAAAATACTATCATGTTGGCAATGTCAGAACAAAATTATCTTAAGTTTGATATACTCTGTAAGTCAAGATAAAAAAAAAAATTGGGAATAAAAACGTTTTTTATGTGTGTGTAAACCCTGTAACAAGTGTCTGTTCTTTGCTCCTTAAAATTATTAAAACTTTCTAAATCAAATCAAAAACTGTTTAAGTCATAACAAATAAAGGACAAATTGGGTAAGGTTCCCTGACTTGTATTTCTAAACTTATAGAAATTTGGACATGTATCTTGTTGTTTGATAATAAAAAGGATAGCAGTTTGTGCTTATCTGTTGTATTAAAATTAAAGAACTTTATCAAATATTTCATCAACTTCAAATATTGTACTAATTTTAATAATAACTTCTTTCAGTCAATCTTGGAAGAACCATACATTTATGAAAGTAGTAATTTATTTAATATGATTGCAAATGGTTTATGAAGATAAATGTTAGAAAAAAGATTTCCAGCCTCTTTGGCTGTATAGAACGATGTGCTATGTTTTGGAATTGGGAATGCCTCTCGAATGTCGTCTCACATCCTGAACTATTTTTTTTTTTTACAAAAGAGTTTATGGTGGCTGCGACAAAATAGCCAGAGCTCCAAATATGATCTGTTTACAATCTGTCTTTATTATACATTCTGTATGGGCAGAATTCTGTCCAACTGGGAAATAAATTGATAACGACCATCAATTTGGAGAAAATTGAAGTGGTTCCAGTTTTATGACCTTACCTATACAACATGAAACACCCTATGTGTATAAACATTACCTGAGATTGTGAAGATATTTAGAGACGGAACGTTCGTTTTGCAGACACTGATCAACATGGCATACTGCGTGCTAATCCTCCTGGGTAAGACAATCCAGAAGTTGGTGTTCGGCGAGCTCCGGGCCTCCGAGAGGCAACATCTCAAGGACAAGTTCTGGAACTTCGTCTTCTACAAGTTCATTTTTGTCTTCGGAGTGCTGAACCTTCAGTACATGGACGAGGTGATACTCTGGTGGGCTTGGTTCACCGCCCTCGGCTTCCTCAACCTCCTCAGTCAGTTGTGCAAGGATCGATTCGAATACGTAAGTACAACTCCTATACGATTTATTACTTCCTCTGGGATCATTTTTTTATCAATGCAGTAATATAGTTGAATAAGAATACATAAGTACAATTCAATATACAATTTATTACTTCCTCTAGGCAAAAGATTTTATCAATGCATATCATTATACATATAAGTACAATTTCAATGCATATCAATTCATAAGTACAACTCCTATACGATTTATTACTTCCTCTGGGATCATTTTTTTATCAGTGCACTAATGTAGTTGAATAAGAATGCATAAGTATAATTTCTATGCAATTTATTACTTCCTCTGGGCAAATTTTTTTGTCAATGCAGTAATACAGGGTGTCCCAGAACTAGTGGTACGTATTTTAATGGGAAGTTCCTGAAGTGTTTTTAACACTAGAAAGACTGAAACTTAGTATATACCTATATTGCCCAAAAGCAGTCAAAAAGACTGCATTGTGAAAGAATAATGTGTAAAGAGATTTGTCTAAAATTAATTTTTAATATTTTTTATATTATTTACAGTCATATAACAAGTTATTAGTAAATGTTAACAATAAAATAAAAATTTACTTCACTTGGGAAAAAAAATAATTTATGCATTATTATTTGTACATTTGCTCAAAAGCAGTCAAAATGACTTCCTTGGGCAATCTAGTGTTAAACAACTTGTATATATATAACAACACCCTTTATAATTGAATAAGAATACATAAGTACAATTCCTATACAATTTATTACTTTCTCTGGGAAAATTTGTTATCAATGCAGTAATGTAGTTGGATAAGAATATTTAAGGAATATTTTACTCGTTTCCTTTTTTTGGAGCAAAATAACACGTGCAGTTGTATTTTGAATACTAAAATGCTATATATGAGTTTGATTATTGTTATTTTATTACAGATTAT